AATACATGTTGATGTGTTTATAAGTATGTACATGTATGTACATGTATATGCATACGTGTGTTCTATATACATAGACAGATTGGGAGCAACTTAATCTTCCACCCAGCAACAGGCCATGGCCTTCAGTTTGAAATCGTCGACCTAACCTCTTTGTGGTCTGTGGTGATAGTGTGTCCCCCAATATATATGTTGTACCCTAATAAACTTATCTGGGGACAGAGAACAGAACAGCCACTAGACAGATTTAGAGGCCAGAAAATGGTGGCACACACACCTTTAAATCCTATCACTTGGGAGGCAGAGATCCATCCAGATCTCTGTGAGTTCAAAGCCACACTGGAAACAGCCAGGCATGGTGACACACGCCTTTAATCTCAGGAAGTGATGGCAGGAAGCAGAAAGGTATATAAGGCGTGAGGACCAGGAACTAGGTTTGCTAAGCTTTTAGGCTTTTAGCAGCAGTTCAGCTGAGATCCATTTGGATGAGTACGCAGAGCCTTCCAGTTTGAGGAAATGAGATCAGCTGAGGAATTGGCTGTAGCTGGTTCAGTTTCTCTGATCTTTCAGCATTCACCCCAAGACCTGGCTCTGGGTTTGTTTTTTATTAATAAGACCTTTTAAGATTCATGTTACAGTGGCCTGTTTCCTCCAATGAGAAACAGGCTTATTTGTAAGGATCAATTAAACTAATTTGCATAAAGTAACCAGTGTACTCGCTATCTCACACACGTTAGTTATTATTATTGTCAATGTTGTCGTGACAATGTCATTTAAAACCATGACTTGTAAAATGTCTACAGTTAGTACGACACAGAGATAAAATTCAGTCAGGGAACTGTTCTCTCATCTTTGCACAGTAGGATCATTTCAGTATAATCGTCCTTCTTTCTTTATTCAGTCACCTAAGAAACATTTAAGTGAAAAGGCACTGTGACCGCGCTGGGGATTCCGGCAGCTCGATTACACAGAATGAGCTTGCAACCCAGGAGCCTAGCGGTGTGTGGCCATCTGAATTTACATTTGAACTTACTAAAATGAAATAAAATTAAAAATTCACATCTTCTATCACACGAGTCCAACAGCCCTATGCGGTTGCCGTGTATGATAGCACAGATGTGAAACATTTCTCTAAGCATAGAAGGTTCTAGAGTAAAGAGAGAGAAAGAGAGAGAGAGAGAGAGAGAGAGAGAGAGAGAGAGAGAGCTTTGAAAGATGGATGCTCATACGTAAAATCTAGATGAAGTGGAGAAGAACTCAGATGGCCTCCCCATTTGGAAAAGACTCAATAATATTTCACATTCTTAAGCAATGCCACCCACTGGCCTAGCCCACAGCTTCTTCCTTTCTTCACATACATGTAGGTAGCCATCGGCATCTCCATCTAGTCTTGTATTTCTAGTTGTGAGCCTAGCCTTTAACGGCCCAGCCATCTCTCCAGCCCACCTCTATCTATTCTGTACGCTAGAGTATCGTTTACAGTTCTAAGTAGCTACATAGAGACTGGAGGGGGAGGAAATGTAATATATTCGTGAGGAAACTAAGGGAGAACTGACTCCAAATGCGGACCTTCAGCCCCATCTAGACCCTCAAATTCCCATCCCCGCTCAGCTGCTGGGTAACAGCAGCCTTTTCTGCAAAACCAGCAGAGGCAGATGGGACTGGGCCCTGGGGCGTTTGGTCACTGTAGTGGAGTCTGCGCAGTGGAGTCTGCGCAGTGGAGTCTGCGCAATGGAGTCTACAGGAAAGGTGTTAATGTCTCACTGGGGGAGCCTGGTCCTAGCAGTCTGTTGAGCTACAGCCTTCTTTTCCCCTGGTGGAATCAGCTCCCTGGTCAGCCAGAGGCTTGACTTTCTCACAGATACCTGCCATTCCCTGGCTTCAGGGGCTTAGATTCCACCTTGACTGTTCATTGACTAGACCTTACCTTAGCTTTCTCCCTGGACAAGGGGTCTTTACCGTTCCCTCACACCTAACCCCACCAAAGCCTACCAAAAGAAAAAAAGGACTCTTGTGATGTATCGTACTCACTCACATGAAGGAAGAACTGTTACAAAGAAGAGCTTCCAGGGAGCAGAGCGGAGTTTAATTTGTGATTGATGATTTAGCGTGAGTCTGATCCATGATATAGGATCTAAGGGAAAAGTGAGAACTTTGAAAATTGTACCAGCTATCATCGTGAATAAAGTTGCCCTTTCACTCCCACCATTGGGTTCTTCGACCTGTGAAACAAGTTCAAAATCCCCATGTGTCAGTGCAACGGTCTTATTAAGTAAGAAACACAGAGCCAAATGCAGAGTTAAAAGCCCAAGAGGTCAGAGCAGCAGCTAAGAGCTGAGACTAAAACCAACCGCCTTCTCACCCCTCGCTGCCACTGCTGTCCTTCCCCTCAGAAGGACACTTACTTCCTGTGCATCTGTCTTTTTATTGACTTTCTGTTCTGCCTTCTCATTGGTTGTAAACCCAACCACAGGACCTCCTCATCACTGCCTGTCTATACAGACCTCCAGGTCTTCTATGGTTGGTATTGAGATTAAAGGCATGTGTCTCCATGCTGGTGGTGTCCTTGAACACACAGAGATCTGCCTGTCATGTGATCGGGATTGAGGGCATGTGCTACCACTGCCAGACTTCTGCTATGGCTTGCTATTAGCTCTGACCCCCAGGCAACTTTATTTATTAACATAGAAATACAATCACATTTCAGCACAAATAAAATATCACCATACCCATGTGTGCTGTTTAGGGTTTAATGGGGTACAGTGGATGCAAATGCAGCTTATGCTGGAGGCAGCATCCTTTCCCCTTGTCTTTGCCTGCACATCTGGAGCTTTTCTCATCCTGGAAGTGATGGTTAACACTGTCACCATGACTGGACTGAGTAATGCCTCTGGGTATGTAGGAGAGATCTTCTCCAGCGACTACTGGAGGGCTCTGATGTAATGAAGGTCTAACACACTGATGGGCTTATATTTTCAATAGACTATTGACAAGTAGTGGAATTATGGAAGGCCTGATTGGAAGGCATAGATCACTGTAGATGTCCTTGGGAGCTGTATTTTGTCCTGACTCCTTCCTGTTACTCCCTTTCCTGCTGCCACGATCTGAGATTCTCTGTCACACTACTTCTGCCGTGATGGGGTAAAAAAATCTCGGAGGCCATGAACTGAAGTAAATCCTGCCTCAGGTGGCTTGTCTCAGTTCTCTCTGCACAGGCAGTGTTGAGTCCGACACTCTTGCCTTGGCCGCCTTTCCATCTGGAGCTGCCCTCCGTGGGGCCTTCCTCCCACCCAGGATCTTCAGAGAACAAAAGAAAGGAAGAACAAAGGAAGACTGATGCCGGGCCCAGTCAAGAAGGGGTTGGTGGAGCAGTCTCTGGTTGAGTTGGATGAAAGCCTTGAAGTGGGTCAAGACAGATGGTGCTTGTCATTCCTAAGGGTAAAAACAAGCTCCATGGGACTGAGGGACTTTTTTCCTGGGGAAGCAGGTTTTGGGAAAAGAGTCGTCAACCATTATACAGACTTCTTGGTTACCGTTCTGTACAGCGCCTCTGCGTGGTCATGAGGAGCATAAGTGAACTCGGTTTTGAGTGGCAAATGTAGGAGGATTATTATCAGATGCATTCCTGGGGTCACACTGGCCCTTGTTTAGGTCTTCAAACCCCCAAGCCATCTAATCTTGACATAAGCTGCTCCAAGAATGTTCCCTTCCCTCCCTCCCCATCAGTCTCTGGTCAGTTCCTACCAAATGGTCATTTCTCAGGGGTCAGTGGGGCCATCTCTGGCACCACAATATAAGCCTGTTCCTTGTCCATTCTTATTTGTTACTATGTGTTCCTCACTCATAACTCTTAACAAAACATGGACTTGTGAGTGAACATTTGTGTGAATGTTTGCTTAATAATGTCTCCCAAACAAGACTACAAACTCCTTGAGGGAAACAACCATGGCTGGTGTTTTTCCTCCTGTGTATAACCTCAAGCCACTGGCATTGATTTCCTGGAATTCTAGCCCTTGATAGCAGACAAGCTGTGGTCCAGATGTACATCTTTTCCCACTCACATTCTTCTGGACCTAGCTCAATAAATCTTTGTTGAAAGGATGGCAAGGGTTTAGATAGCGTCAAATTAAAATAAAAGTAGGAATTAACAACACAAGTTACAGAAGCAGCCAACAGGACAGCAAGAAAAGAAGGAAAGATTAAAGATTAGATTCTTCCCAGACTCAGAATCTGTGCAGTGCCCAGCTGTGCTTTGTATTTCCACAAACAGTGCCTCAGCGAGAAAGATCCTGAGCCCTAATGTGGAAATCAGAACACATCCCCTCCCAGGTCTTGGAGGAACTGGAAGAGCGGAGGTTCCTTCCACTAAGTGGGGAGCTCTGTGTAGGTGCAACTCTGGTTCAATTACCTCCGGTCCATTCTGAGAGACAAAAACCGATTTCACTAGGCATAAAGGAAGGCTGCAGATGGAAGTGTAAGGGACATGTCTGAAGATACCACGTTCTAGCCCCTTTCTCTCCCAGAGACATTTATGTGGTGTTAGCATGTCCAGAAATGTTTCAATTCCATAGGAAGTGTGAAGAAAGTACCATTACTTAATATGTGTAACTGTCAAATTCCCATTAGAACTCCTCGGGACACAAAGAAGATGACTTTGTGTGATGACTTTTGAAAGCACTCCAAACAAGGCGTCTTCTCCTGTGACCTCTTGCTTCCTCCCTGGCCCTTAGTCACACATGGCCTTATGACGTCTCTCTTGCCTGGGCTGAGTAGAGCTGGCCACAGTTCATGCCTCTTGAGACAGACACCCCAGACTATCCACATAGCAGGCAAAAAAGTGCTCCTTGAATGACGTCCAGGTCATTATCCCCAGTACCTGTCAAGGGTCTAGAGAGGGGAACTTATCCTATGTCATTCAGATGACCTTGATACGGTCACATGGGCCTTCTGGGGGGGGGGGGGGACAAATGATCAATATAAGGAGGGAAAGTGTGTCAACAGAAGCAGATGTTGAAAATGTGCTTTAATGATGGAGAAGGGTGCCAGAAGACCTAGTACATGTAGGAAGCTTCTAGAAGCTGGAAAAGGCAAGAAACACATGGTCCCTAGAACTGCCAGAAGAAACCTAGTTTTGCAATCACCCAAGTTATATCCCACATGACTCACTTTGGATTTCTGACCTCCTAAAGTACAAAGCTGAAAAAAAAAAAGTTTGTTGTTTTTATGTTAAGCCATGTCGATTTTAGGTAGTTCTACGGCCACAAGAGGCAGCTGATAGCCATGTTCAGAAAAATCTTTTGCCTGTGGGAAGGCTTGGTGGCACAGTTTGCAGGCTGATAGAATTTTGATCCTGTTTGGAACAACCCAAAATGTCCATGAACATGTTACGTCACCTGTAGGAAAGGGGTAGTTAGATGAGGCCAGGCCTAGAGGCTGGCGACACAATCCCAGCCTGCCCTAAAACCAAGCGAGAGGCCTCAGTGCTGTGCCTAGTGCCAGGGAGGTGAATGATTTACCCCTGGCAGGGTGATGCTCTGAGAAGCTCTCTGGCTGCCAAGTTTCATCGAGTACACTGGTTTTAATTAAGCTTAACTTGGGCGTAGCTTCTGCCGCTGACCTCATGGGACCCGGCCCAGCCAAGCACAGCAATGCCCTCTTCCTTCAAGGATCCTCTTTCTGCCCATGTGGAGGGAGGACCCCTCTGCTGTCTGCTTCATGGTTGAGATAGTGGGAGTCAAGCAGATGGCCTCCGTGCCAAGGAGCCTCAGGTCCGCCAGAGCAACCAAAACAGGAAGGTAGAAGAACTGTAGAACTGTACATCCAAAGCATCCCTGCCGCACGGTTCCTTCAAAGCAGGTTGGCACAGACCCTGTTCTGCTGCTTTTAATTGGTGTGGAGTGATGCTTTATTTAACTGTCCACCTCCGCCTGCCTCCTCATGGTGCCTAGGGGAAAAAAAAAAAAAAAAAACGAGATTTTAACATTTGTTTCTGGTTTGGTTGGCCAGGAGTCCAGTTTGTTCCCAGGGCTCTAGTCTCAGGAAAACATTGGGGGAAATTCTCATTTTCCAGAACTAGGCATTTCATTCAAAAACTGCTGAGCCCCGTGATTCACATTGGGACCATCTGCGGCTCGGTCTTCGTAAGGGCAGGGAGCTTGCTTGCTTCTGTCTCTGCGGCGTTCTTAATTTCTGTCTGCCATGGCTATAATTCTAGCTAGATATTCTCACTTTTGTTGAGATGTTCTTTGAAACATTTTCTACAAGATCTTGTTACCCATTTTTCTATTTTTACGAGTATAGTTCCATAATAAAGATTTGCTTTTGCCAATTATTTAAAGCATAAATTTATTTTAACATAAAGTCATAACAATTGCATCTACTCAAGTATCATGTGATTTGGGGGTGTGAATACACTGAGTTATTTAATTATTAAATATGTGAGTGTACGTCCTTTGCCGTTATCAGTATTGTATATTTGCAGTTTTTAAACTTATTGGTAGCAGTTTACCTGCTCACTCCTCAGATCTGACAAAACCCTCCCTCGTTTGGCTCTCCCATGTGAATTTGTGGTTTTCCTCATGTTTGTCTACTTCTCTTAGAATCCAATACTACTTAGACCAGTTTTTGTTTAGTGATGATATAGTCAAAGGCTGTGCATCTTCTCACACACACACTTCGTTTGCATTGCTGAAGTCTGATTCTTATTGACTGCTAGGGTTACGATTTTGGCATTCTCCTTGATCTTTGATTAGCATTTAAAACACTGCAGGTTCTCAGTTATGTGGACTTCTGTTTGTTATTTCTTTTACCATTGTGCTGTAGTTACAAAACTGGATTAGGGTTTTGTTTCTTTTCTTGAAATGTGCATGAGGTTTCTTCACTTTCTGGGTAACCGACTTTTAAAAGAATGTAGCTTTTGCACAGAAAAGGTCTATATCCGTGTCTGGCTCTGTGGTGGAGCCACACCGTCATCCACAGGCACTGGACCACTTGCGGCCATGTTATTTTTGCTTAGGATTGCTTTGGACAGTCGTGCAATTTGACGTTGCCATATAAATTTGATGATTGCTCTTTTTTTTTTTCTAGTTCTGTTGTTTCAATAAAAATTCTGAAATTTTGATGAGGATTGCACAAGTCTGTAGATTACTTTGGGTAGTGTAGCTATTTCCTCAGCATTAATTCTGTAAAAGCTGGATTATGGGAGGCTTATCAGACACGGAAATATTCTGGTGGACCCAAATGAAGAGCTACAGCTAAGAGAGAGAGAATCTTCTCCAAGAACAAACTCCCTGGTAGGTCATCCAATCACAAGTGGTCAGTCCTAAACACATAAATACAAACAACACTAAAGGCATTCAGGAGTTTGTTTGTCTGTGTGTTTACACATACATATATGTGCTTATGTATGCTATATATTTAAATAAATATATTTATTATTCTAAATATCCTGTATACAATATATAAACACATTTATATTATGTTATAATTTATATAAATAAATATAAATATATATAGGCTATACAGTATATATTAAATATATTTTATATTTATAAATATATTATATAGGCTATATAATGTATATCAAATAAATATTTATATATTGTATATAAAGAAGAGATCATTAATTTGAGAGAGTGGGGGGCACTAGAGGACTTGGATGGTGGAGTAGGAATGATGTAAATATGTGCATTTAATTATATACATATAAATTTATACATATAAACATTCATGTATGAAAGTCTCAAAAATTAAAAAAATAAGTTTAAAAAAAGTTTTCTGGTGGATTCCATAGAGTCTTCCAAGTATGGAATCATGTTTTTTGCAAGTAGGGGAGGTTTGTCTTCTTCCTTTCTATCTCTATCCCCTTCATGGCTGGGACCTTGAGCACCACACTGAAGAAGTGTGGAGAGTGTCAGACGGCCAATTTTCATCTTGATAAATTTGAATTAGGAGGGCTGGGGAGGTGGCCCAGCAGTGAAGAGCACCTACCGCTCTTGCAGAGGACCTGAGTTTGAGTCCCAACCTCCACATACTCACAACCAGCTAGCTCCAGGGGATCCGATCTCATCTTCTGGCCTCTGTGAGGACTGTACACACATGCACATCACACACACACACACACACACACACACACACACACACACA